GGGGGGGGGGGGGGGGGGGGGGGGGGGGGGGGCGTACGCGATAAACCCCGCTAGGCAGGGCTTCAAAACCGGTTTGCAAAAATCAAACTGGGGCGGAAACAAGGTCACCACAACTAACACGACAAACATACGAAATAGGCACGCAAAACAGGAACTAGCGTCAGCAAGACGACACGAAGATTTAATCGTGGTGGCTCATTTTGCCTCCGCCGCAAGCAACTCCATTGTTTCAAGCGAAGCGAAATAAGGCAAGGCGGACAAAGCGATGCTGCAGGTGCAGGCTTCACGCGAACACCCGTTGTCCAATCGACCACACAAAAAAACAGCTTGATCGATATTAAGAATAGCCGTTTGTGTGTCCTTTCTGGCCTCCGGTTCGGAATTGTCTATGCAAAAACGAACGTCGTGGCTGCTCCTTCACCTGCGAGATCTCCGCGTCGGGCTCCGACTTGTCCATCTCCCGAATCACAAAGTAGACGCCGCATTTTCGCAGCGACTGCCGAGACTCTAGGATGGCGCACAGCTGCAACAGGGCGGGTTTGCCGTAAAAAATAAAATAATACAAGGGCAGCAGGGTCAAGGAGAAGGGCAATGCCCAACGGAGGCGGCGATGCCACTCGAAAACATAAGTGGCCAAGGCGAGCCCTTCATACCTGGGCCGAGGTGTACATACAGCATGGCCTATTCGTCGTTTCGGGGGCTGGTTTAAAGGGCATGAACTCCTTGCCTCCGCAAGAGTCAAACGGCTAAGGGCGTCCGCGTGCAGCCAAGGTCAGGGGTAGAACGAAGGCAGGGCGCACGGACGGGGTGGTCATCGGGCAAGCACACGCCTGTAGAAAAGTGACTGTCAAACACCGCCACGACCTTCAGCCCCACCCCATTCAGGACGCCTTGTTCCAGCTCGTTTCACGACCAGAGGCCCAAAGGAGCGAGCCTTGAGAGGGGAAACGAGCGGAAAGTGAGTGAGGGAAAGCCTTCGTCTACCTGAAGCAGGGCCTCGACAATATCCCGCTTGATGCACTGAACGGGCTCTCGTCGTCTCGGCGCTGCGGGGGAATCTTCAGAAGAACCTTCTTGTTCTTCTTTCCTCCACACTCGAGGGTCGAGGATAACCTGACAAATACGACGACAGTAAAATATGGGAATACACGAGACCAGAGGGTTGTGAAGAAACGTTAAAAGGCAGAGGGGGATTATCGTTCGGGGCATGACGGAGTGATAGGGGTGGGTGGGGGGGGGTGTACGCATAGTCGTGCATGCCGTAGTCGTTAGACCATTGACCTCGCATCCCTACAAAGCCGGGACGGAGCACGCCGGGTTCTCACCGGAGGGGGGGGGGTGTACTCATAGTCGTGCATGCCGTAGTCGTTAGACCATTGACCTCGCATCCATACAAAGCCGGCACGGAGCACGCCGGGTTCTCATCGCACCAGGCTCTCACATCACCAAGCGCGAAGCGCCGTGAGATATTCGGCGAGTCGCATGAAGGGTGCGCTGCATCCTGCTAAGGGTTTTCGGCATCTTGTGCTTACTTCCTTGCATACGGATGACAGCTGCGTATGAATAAATTTATTTACTGGTGCTTTCACTTCCAGAAACAGGTGTAAGCACTGTGTAACTGCCTCGAGGGTGCTTGACCATTGTAACACA